CCGTTATGTACCCGTAGTGGCTACTAAACAAACTCAGCAGACTTATAATGTTCGAAAAAAAAACAAATGGTCACCACGAAACGCGAAGGTCGTTACATCGACCTAGCACTGGCCGGTAATTACATAGGACCTAGGCACGAAATATCGCCCCGCCTTAAAACCTAGGCTAAACTAAATAATGTCACGCACAGAGTGTTTTATTACCTACTTTGTTTAGGGATGTGTCTGAATGGGCGTGGGAAATATCTTCTTAAATATATATAACTCAAAGGTGACTGACATAGTGATCTATCAACGCACAGTCCAAACCACTGGACGGATCGGGCTGAAATTTGGCATGCAGGTAGATGTTATGACGTGGGCATCCGCTAAGAAAGGATTTTGATTAATTCTACCCCCAAAGGGATAAAATAAGGGATGAAACTTTGTATGAAACTTTGTCAATTTTGAACCGATCGGGCTGACACTTTGCATCCATAAAGCTACTATAACGTAGGCATCCCCTAAGAAAGGATTTTGTTAAATTCCACTCCTAAGGAGATAAAATAGGGGATGAAAGTTTGTATAAATCTTCTTAGATTTTCGACTGATTGAACTGAAATTAAAGATGGAGCTACTATGATGAAGAGATTCGCTTAAATAGGATATCGATAAATTCAACCCCCATGGGGATAAAATAAGGAATGATGCAGGATGTAAATGTATTAGTTTGAACCTATCACTAATGGAACGAATAAATTAAGACGAACAAAATAATTTTTAGTTCTTTAAGCTACTTTTATTTTAGAAAAATAAAGGTAAATTCCACGCAGACGAAGTCACGGGAACAGCTAGTTTAAGATAATTGTGTAATCAAGTAGGGCTCGCAGACGCATTATGAAGTACTAATGACAGTTTTGAAAGATATATATGACTGTCTAAAAATGCTTAAATTTAAGATTCTTCAATTAGTAATAATATCTCTTAAAAATAAATAAGTAATTGTAAGAGTCTCAGACAAGGTGGACCGACGATCTGGTCAAGATCGCTGTATAAAAATGCTTAAATTTAAGATTCTTCAATTAGTAATAATATTATATCTCTTAAAAATAAATAAGTAATTGTGAGAGTCTCAGACGAGGTGGACCGACGATCTGGTCAAGATCGCTGGAAAGCGTTGCTTGCGTTGATCGCCGTGAAAATTTTTGGGAGAGGCCTTTGTTCTGCAGTGGACGTCTTCCGGGCTGAAATGATGATGAAATAATTAGTTACCAAATCAAGTGTTATTTAAATTAAAATTCAAAGTATCTTTGTTCATGTAGGTCTATTGATCGTAATGAAGATTTTTGGGAGAGGCCTTTGTTCAGCAGTGGACGTCTTCCGGGCTGAAATGATGATGAAATAATTAGTTACCAAATCAAGTGTTATTTAAATTTAAATTCAAAGTATCTTTGTTCATGTAGGTCTATTGATCGTTATGAAGATTTTTGGGAGAGGCCTTTGTTCAGCAGTGGACGTCTTCCGGGCTGAAATGATGATGATGATGATGATGAAATAATTAATTATCAAATCAAGTGTTATTTAAATTAAAATTCAAAATATCTTTATTCATGTAGGCCTATTACAGACTCTTATGATGTGTCAAATCTACCGTCAGTTCGGTATGATTTCGAGATGAGAAGAACTGACAAGAAACTCAGCTCGTATTCTTTTCAAATAAATGTTGTACATGTTTACAATAATACAGATTAAATTTTAAATTCAAATTTGGGAGAATAGAGTTACCACCATCATAGGCTATTGCAAAACAAATAGTCTAATTAGTGTTCGTAGCCTGTACAGACCAGTCCCCACAAGCAGCACCCGGTCACGAGTATGACGGATGAGCCAGCCATCAATGCACTCAACCATACTATATTGTAAAAAAAACTAGGATATAATTACTCTGGGCTGCTCATTAACTCTTCCTCGCCATTGCTTATTTCTCAGACGGCCGCCTAATTATAATATTCGAGTAACGCGTCCTCTATAATTCATAATTTTCTAAAATACCATCCTCATCATCTGGAGGACTGTGGAGGACCGCCATGAACGGCGGTCCTCCACAGTCCTCCAGATGCGATTTTCCAGAAACTTTTTGCCACTCAAAACCACATTGTGGAATCACCTTCCAGCAATGGTATTTCCGAACTGATACACACATATAACAAAGCGGTGTTATAAAAAAAAATCGGACTTAAAAATCTAACGAAACTTTCTACGTAGGAATTGTTGTAATGTGCCTTTAATAGTCAAGAGTACAATAAATAGTCAATTTGCTAATTTATATACTCATCTATAGTTTGCGTGTATAGTTTTCAATAACTTTCGTTTGTTAATACGATTATGGTTTATGGTTAACGTGACCAGAAGTCCTATTTTAAGCGGGACTGTCCCATTTTATAATTACGAGTCCCGGTGTCCACAAATTGAAGGGGATGCAAAATTGTCCTCTTTTTGGAAACTCCACGAAAGGTTGTGTAGTCGATTTTGATTTTGCTGTTGCGGTCGGTTGTGATGTTATTGTTAATAAATTAAAGTGAATAGATAGAAAAAACATGCCAAAACTTTCACAGTCTTACTATGTAATATTTATGAGTGCTGTTTGGTAGTTTGTATTCACACGTTTCGACTTGTAAAATATGAACTTACAAGGATTATTTAAAAGAGCACACACAAGTTTCTTACTCGTTCTTCTTGTGATGAGACAGCCTTCCAAATGAGCGGTAGATTAAAAAGAATTGTTATGACTATTCAAAAGTGCTTAAATTAAGATTATTTGTATAAATAATTTTGTATTCTATTATCTGTGGTCTTACTTATTAGCTTCACTTGTGAGGGAAGTTACCTCCGAACTTCTCACGTTAACAGAGTAACTATAGTGGTGTTCAAGTAAATAACGTAGAATAAGATAAACAAAATATATTTCTAATCAAAATAAAATAATATAAAAACACATTTAATACAATATACAGATAAGTTATAGATACATCAATACGACGACAGACAAGATGACAAAACACACTCTCTTTTCAAATATTCAAACATACTTCATCTGCCATACCAGCCAGTCTAGACATCGATTGCAAACCTCGTTCTAACACTCTTCCTCAATCGTTGCCTTCAGACTTTCTCTCAGTAGCATACTCCTCACAATCCTCTCACACACAAACTAATCCACAACACCCATCTCACTACGACAGAACTCATGCTTGCCTCTATGCACTGCCTTTGTCATAATATCAGCAATCATTAACTTTATCTCCAAATATTTCAAATCTATTACTCCATTCTCTAGAGTCTCTCGCACAAAGTGATAACGTACATCCACATGTTTGGTTTGCTGATGGTGTACTGGATTATTTGCTATCGCTATAGCAGACTGACTATCTGAGTGGATTGTTAGCGGTGGCTCTTCCTTACCCAAGAGTTCCTCTAGGAAACGCTTTAAAAAGACAGCTTCCTTGGAAGCTTCTGACAGACTGACATATTCAGCCTCAGCGGTTGATATGGCAACACTTCTTTGTTTAGTGCTTTGCCATGAAGTGGCTCCTTTTGCCATCTTAAATACATTTCCGGAATAGGACTTTCTGTCGACTATATCATGTGCATGATCAGCGTCACAGAAACCTTGAACTGTTCCTCGTTCATCCCTGTAATATACCAGTCCCAAACTTTTCGTACCTTTAAGGTATCTCAGGATCCTTTTCGTTGCTGTCTAGTGAACTTCCTCAAAACAATTGCAAAATTGACTCATAAAATTCACTGCGTGTGCAATATCGGGTCTTGTACATACAGCAAGATACATGAGTGAACCTATAAGTTCCTTATATGGAACTTTCTCATCTGGCCTATGCATATTGTCTGGTTTTATAAAATGTTGACCAGGAACAGCTGGAGTGGCAACTGGTTTACAGTCTTCCATCCGAAATTTGCGTAAGAGTTTTTCTATATACTCTTCCTGATCTATTTTAATGCGGCCTTTCTCTTGTCTGAGCCTCATGCCCAAGAACAACTCCGCCTTTCCTAAATCCTTCATTTCAAATTTTGACATCAAGTCACTTTTAACTTTTTGCATTTCGTGTGAATTATTATAGAGGATAAGAATGTCGTCTACATATACTATAAGGATGATAGAATTCTTCTCTGTTCTCCTTGTATATACACAGGGTTCATTCTTGCAGCGCTTGAAGTTTAAGCTCTCTAGCTCGGTATGTAACTTCAGGTTCCAGGAACGTGGTGCCTGCTTCAAACCATACAAAGATTTCTTTAATAGACATACATAATCCTCTTTACCTTTTTCTTCAAAGCCTGGTGGTTGCCTCATATAAACAACTTCATTGAGATTACCATTTAAGAAAGCTGTTTTGACATCCATGTGGTCTATCTGTAGACCATTTTGCGCAGCCAAAGCTATCAACAGTCTCAGTGAGCTATGTCGCACTACAGGGGAGAATGTCTCATCATAATCAATGCCTTTCCTTTGACTGAAGCCTCGGGCAACTAAGCGAGCCTTGTATCGAGTTTTATTCCCCGCCTCCTTTTTGATTCGGAATAACCATTTCGAATCAACAATGTTACTCGCTTGGTCAGGCTTCACTAGGACCCAAGTTTTGTTCTTCTTTAGTGCATCTAGTTCTTCCTGTATAGCGTCTCTCCATAGCTTGGCATCTTTTCTAGACAGTGCCTCTCTAACATTAAGTGGATCATCTTCTGATATCGCTTGGTAAGTGACGTAATCAGGAAATTGGACAGGTTTCCTTACTCGAGTCGGATATCTCCTTTCTTGCACTTCAGCTTCTCCACTTACGGTTGTAGGTTCTTCATTTAGACTGTCTTCAAATGATGTACACCGGTCAACTTCGTATTCAGCATTCTCAGTTTCCGTGATTACATTGGTATGATCTCCATCATTCCTTTGCAAATCCTCTTCCTGAACTGCTTCTTCATGTTGAAAGTTCTCATTGGGTTGTTTAGCTTCCTCTGAAACATTATCAAGGTTGACGGTTGTATACTTTTGTTCTTTGTTTTCATCGTTTATGCGGTAATACTGGTTTTCAAAAAATATGACATCTCTAGATCCGTAACAATTTTCTGTTGAGGGGTCGAATAATTTATATCCCTTTGATTCTTCGGAATATCCAACAAAAATAACTTCTTTGCTTTTAGGAAGCCATTTTGTCCTTTTGACATCTGGGATATGTGCAAACGCCCTACATCCGAAAATTCTTAGGTGGTTTAGGTTAATTTTTCTGCCAGTCCATACCTCTTCAGGTGTCTTATTTCTAACTGCAACTGTTGGACTTCTATTCTTCAAATAGACTGCAGTATTCACCGCTTCTGCCCATAAACGAGTAGGGAGACCTGCTTCTTGTAGCATCGCACGTGCCTTCTCTGCTATAGTGCGATTTGCACGTTCGGCAACTCCGTTTTGCTCAGGTGTGTACGCATTCGAGAGTTGACGCTTAATGCCATGTTCCCTTAGATACTCGTCTACTTGATTATTTACATATTCTCTTCCATTGTCTGTTCTCAAGACCTTTAACTTTTTACCAGTTTGTTTTTCTGTAAAAGTTTTAAAAAGTTTAATCTTATCAAAAGCTTCACTCTTATGCTTAATAAAGTATACAAAAGTTTTTCGAGAATAATCATCGATAAATGTTATATAGTATCTATGACCTCCGATAGACTCCTCAGTCATTGGACCACTAATATCTGAGTGAACTAACTCTAGAAGTTCTTTGGCTCTCGTAGCCTTTGTATATTTAAGAAATGGTTGTCTTGTTTGTTTACCCATCAGGCATGCTACACATTGTAAATTGCAAGTAGGTGCATTCTTGAAACTTACCCCTGTTGCCATTTTATCTCTTAGCAATTTAAGGTTACGTACTCCTAAATGCGCTAACCTTTTGTGCCATAGCTCCAAGCCTCCGCTTTGTGTAGTCGCTAATGCACTTTCCTGTGAAGAAGATTTTAGTTTGTATACACCTCTATCAAGCACACCTTCCAACCAAATCTTACCTTTCACAATACATTCATTCTTATTATAGATATTACAGCCATTCTCTGAGAAAACAACAACCTTGTCGCTTTTGACCAGTCTACTTACACTCAATAGGTTTGATTCAAGCTTTGGTACATACATTACACCTCCAATAGTAATATTTAATGACTCATTCGTCATCACACCAAAACCTTCACCATATACCTTACCTCCATCCGCGCAAAATATTTCTACCTTATTACTAGCCTCTACATAGTTATACATACAATTTCTTCTAGAACTCATATGTGTCGATGCTCCAGAATCTATAATCCATGTTTCATCGTGTTCTCTTGATATAGATTATTGATGCTTTAAAGCTAATGCCGTCATTGTGTGAGCAGTTTTAGCTTCTCTCGGATTGTGCGGACAGTCACATGCTTTGTGTGGACCTTCGCAAATAAAGCATTTTATTTTCTTTTTCTCTGTTTGTTTCCTCTGAACAAACTTTTTCTTCGGTTTCGCTGTTAATGCTGAATTATTTGAAACTGTAAAGCTTGTACTCGTACTTGCTTTGTTGTCATCCAATTGTAAAAGTTTTGTTTTTACATAATCTGAAGATAATTCAGTATTAGCATTCTCTAATGCCAACCTCATTGGTGTGTATTTATCTGGTAAACCTTGTAGCATCAGGGCTGCCAACAGCTCATCGTCAACCTCCTTTCCAAGGTCTGCTAACTGATTCGCTACTCTCATAAGCTCAGTAACATATTCGGTTATTGAATTAAACATGTTAAGCTTTAGGCTTACTAGTTTTGATAGTAGTCTGCACCTATTATTAACGCCTTTATCCTCATATGCTGTTTTTAAATTGTTCCATGTTTGAAATGCACTCGTTGCTTTTCGAACATGTACCTTGCAATGGTTTTCAATCAATAGACAAATTTTAGTACGTGCCTTTTGATCTCCTCGACGTGCTACAACATCTTCAGGGTTAGGTACTTTTTCTACATACTGCCACAGATCATCATGGACTAAAATACACTCCACATCAAACTTCCATGTATCGAAGTTGCTACTCCCTTGCAGTTTCTCTATCGCTGGGAGTCCAGATCCCGCACTCGATGTTGATGGTATACTCATCTCCGTACTTGTGTTTTTATATTGAATAGAAATAGGGATGCTCTCACCGTTTTCGTAAATCATATATCCTTAATACACTCCTGTATTCGTATTTACTTGATTTTTGCTGCCCATAACCTGTGAGGGAAGTTACCTCCGAACTTCTCACGTTAACAGAGTAACTATAGTGGTGTTCAAGTAAATAACGTAGAATAAGATAAACAAAATATATTTCTAATCAAAATAAAATAATATAAAAACACATTTAATACAATATACAGATAAGTTATAGATACATCAATACGACAACAGACAAGATGACAAAACACACTCTCTTTTCAAATATTCAAACATACTTCATCTGCCATACCAGCCAGTCTAGACATCGATTGCAAACCTCGTTCTAACATCACTAGCTATATTAAAGCAAATTTGTTCACCCGGTACTACTTAACTTTTAAGCTAACTTTTTCTGAATAGCTTTAATATTTTGTTTTTTCATTGCCTGTCTATTAAACGTAAATAAACCAATCTTCCGTTTTGAGTCAAAGAGAAAATGGTCACGTTAGTCAAGGTATTACTTAATATTGGGCAGTACAGCAAACACAATATATATAATAATAGATATTGAATTATAATTAGGTTCGTAGATAGGGCATCAATAAAAGAGGAAACTAAAATATTATATCACAATTATATTTCACGATGAAGTCTTTATTTTCTATTGTTCTAACGATGACAAGGAAAGTACAATTTTCAAATTTATATTTTCTTTATTGAAGAATTGCGACTTTGAAGTGCCAATGGGCAGGGAACATAGCTCGTAGGACAGATGGCCGTTGGGGCAGTAAAGTCCTCGAGTGGCGACCACGGACCGGAAGACGCAGCGTGGGAAGGCCTCCAGCAAGGTGGACCGACGATCTGGTCAAGATCGCTGGAAGGCATTGGATGCGAGCAGCGCAGGACCGATCGTCGTGGTGATCTTTGAGGGAGGCCTATGTCCAGCAGTGGACGTCTTCCGGGCTGCGATGATGATGATGATGATGATTTTCTTTATATAAACTAAAGAGTTATTAACATCACTTTTACACAATTATAAATACGCGTAGTGGTGTCTTGAACCGAATATTCAGCAGTCATTAATTATAGCTGAAATTAAATAAAACTGCGGGTTAATTTTTATAGCATTTACACATATAATTCTGCTTCTATCACATAATTTTTTATATGAAAGTTTTATTCAGAATTTGGAAGAAACTTGTCTCAAATCCTGTACATTCAGTAGTGTATGTATATATCTATATCTATACATATAAATAAAATTGGAGTGTCTGTTTGTAATATTGAAATAACCGTTTTTTACTACATGCATATGAATATAAATACGGTACATGCACCAAAATAACATTTTTTTACAATTTTTGTCTGTCTGTCTGTTTGTTCCGGCTAATCCCTGAAATGGCTGGACCGATTTTGATGGGACTTATTTAGTAGGTAGCTGATGTAATAAGGAGTAACTTGTGAAAACTGTGACACGAGAATTTTATATATAAGATAAACCAATAGACCTACCTTTCAGTAAAATTATCAACAAGCAAGTAACAATATATGTACTGTATTCCACGCAACACCGCGTGCTATAGTTACTAATCTTAATCTTATTTATATTATACTAGATACTCGCCCCGGCTTCGCACTGCTGTACATATATTATATATATAAACCTTCCTCTTGAATCACTCTATCTACTAAAAAATCCGTTGCGTAGTTTTAAAGATTTAAGCATACATAGGGACGGACAGACAGCGACAGCGACTTTATTTTATACTACATAAAGATAACGATGATGTAATACTATAGTTTGAAAGTATGGATGTTTGTTATTCTTTCACGCAAAAACTATTGAACGGGTTTCTATGAAACTGAGCTATATTACTGTAATAATATAGCGTATGCATCAGAATAACAAATAGGATTTTTTTTTATGTTTGAATGTAAGACTTTCAACTATCCTTTGAGATATCTCGAAGGATTCCGCAATTATATCATTTTGATGTACATATACAAACAAAATATAGGATAATTGCCGCAGCTCGCCTGCCGTGAGCTAACTCGTTCGCCGAATACCTCTCAGACAGTAAGACAAAATAATTGTTTTGTTTACAGCTCGGACTCGTTGCGTTTCAAAACAGATCCCTTTTATTTCTTACTAGCTTTTGCCCGCGGCTTCGATCGCGTTAATGTGGGATACATTAACGTGATCGAAGACTTAGGAGAGGAATTTATCAAAATCCTATTTATATAGATTCATAGTAGATTTATTCATGCAAAATCTCAGCCCGATCGGTTTAAAATTGACAAAGTTTCATACAAACTTTCATCCCTTATTTTATTCCCTTGGGGGTAGAATTAATTAAAATCCTTTCTTAGCGGATGCCTACATCATAACAGTTCGGAATGATTTCCAGATGAAAAGAACTGACAAGAAACTCAGCTCGTATCTTTAAAAAATTGAATTGTTATTTGAAAAGTGGAATTTAACAAAATCCTTTCTTAGGGGATGCCTACGTCATAGTAGATTTATGCTTGCAAAGTCTCAGCCCGATCGGTTTAAAATTGACAAAATTTCATACAAACTTTCATCCCCTATTTCATTCCCTTGGGGGTAGAATTAATCAAAATCCTTTCTTAGCGGATGCCTACGTCATAACATCTACCTGCATGCCAAATTTCAGCCCGATCCGTCCAGTGGTTTAGATTGTGCTTTGATAGATCACTATGTCAGTCACCTTTGAGTTACATATATTTAGATATAGATTCCATCGAATTGGGTTGCTCTGTGCACGCGACGAGTTTTTTAACTTCTTTGCATATTTTAGTATAAATTGGATTTGCTATAGATATAGAAATTCGAAAATCATTTATTCGTCTAGGACATTTTAGCCGCTTATGGATGTCAAGTTTTGTTACAGACTCGATTGAGATGTACTGGCATGAAACTCGATTGAATTTCTTTCTTTTAAAACCAATTTATTTTTACAGTTTATGCTTATATAGGTATCTATTTGTAAATATATTATATTGTATTAAATGTTTGACTATGGGTAGAGTCGGTCCAACTCTACCCATAGTCGAACATTTAACTTTGTATGTTTGCATGTTTTTACGATACATTGAATTTGCTATCTTATCTATAATAAGCTATAATATCATTTTTTGAAAGAAAAAGTTGGAGTCGTGTCGTATCAACAGCTAAAAGGACTGATAGAAGTTCGTGGAAGGTGGCGGGAGCTCCACCGACTCCAGCTTAAATTATGAATGAATGAAATCATATTTTGACTCAATATTAACTATTGACTGAATCCTGCTATATCTATGTCCCGGTTGTAACAACAAATATTTGAAACAGAGTTGTGAAAACAGATGAAAGTAGCTTTCATTCAAGGAGTGAGAGTTTCATTGTGACCCACAAGTAATTAAAAGAACTAGTAGCCACCAAGTAGTCACGACCATAATAATAATAATAAAAAAAACTGATAAAACAAAATATACAAATAATAATAATAAAAAAACACCAGCAAAAGCTGAGAGAATGAGACGATAGATAGAAGAATAATAATAATAATAATCTCAGGACAATTCACACAGCTCCATCTAGACCCAAGTTAAGCTAGCTGAAGCTTGTGTTACGGGTACTAGATAACTGATACAAGTACATAGTTTTTTTTTCGTAAATACATACATATTATACATAGAAAATGCCCAGACAGATACAAACATACGAGTTTGTGCCGTACGAGGGATCGAACCCACGACCATCGGATAGTAAAGCGGTGTGCTAAACAACTAGACCACCGAGGCTGTCGACAATCATACTCATGAATACAAATGTTTGTACCGTGCAAGGAATCGAACCCACCACCATCGCATAGTAAAGCGGTGTGCTAAACAACTAGACCACTGAGGCTGTCGAATAATATTAGTAAGTATTATATATGAGTCTGTAAGTTAGTTTATAATATTACTAAAGGTTCTCAAAATGATATCTAGAATCGTATACAAAAAATCCATCACCGTGATTGTACTCTTAATGTTCTGTAGGCATGTAAAAGTCTAGATTTTCTCCCCATTTCCCTCAATTTGGCCGGCCATTGATTTAGTTCAACGTTCCCTTATCAACGTCTACAATCA